GATGCATGAAAATTAACTGGGAGAAAGTTTACATCTGCCTCTAACTTTCCTTCGCGGGAAATTATTCGAGTACCTGCCTTTTACGCGTAGGTGTTTTCTCAAGTCCAATTTAGACACGTCAGACAAATGATTTAACTTTAATAGATGGATGCTGGTAATAATTCATTCCTTAGAAAGATCGACGATAAGAATTATTAACAAGCTAAAAAAGTACGACTTGGTTAACTGTATAAGGAGTTCTTACAATCATTTTTCTGTTAGCGAGCGTCATAGTGGTAAAGTAGATTTATAAGTTGCTTCAGGAACTCAAATAAAATTGTAACTGTCTGTGGTTTATGTAAAATCGATCTTATCAACTGGTGGCTTATAATGTAATTACTATAGACATGACATGCACTATTACACGAAACTATTTCCCAACTTTCACGACATCTATTACATGCTTAAAATTGATAGCTCATATTCAGCAACATCTGCTATGTTAGGACGTTTAGTCGCTCAATAACACATTTTGTCTCTGTCTGAAACAGTAACAAGGGTTCAAGTTTAATTTTTTATTGCTTCAAAAGAAACGAAGTAGAATTATAAATTTAGGCGACTTTTTTTAATGTCAATAAAATATACAAATCTTAGGTAATCAGTGCTTCAAGCTCGAAAAGTGAAGGACAGTAACTACAAGTAAGTGTGGAAGACCATTAAAGATAATAGATACTTTAGTTGCGTCATAAACAACAACTTTAATTAAACGCAATTCCTTAACAGCTCCATTTCCTTGAGTATCCCAGCTGATGGCTTACGACAAAAACGGCATTTATTAAAGATGTGTTTAATAACACCCGTATTATATATAGCCTCACTGATTGGAAATTAGTGCATTAGACCAAAAAGAGCTTATTTAGAAACTCGTATACAGTCAAAACACACGCGTTTACTAGAATAGCGCCTCAATTAACTTCGAAGGATATTAAGACGGAGTTGTCGAAATTTCCTTTCAACTAGCAAATGGAACATGTCGAAAAATGAAACGATCATTAATCAAACTTCTGAACGATTTGTTATCCACTAAAACAGATTCCGGTAAAAACAGCGCGAAAACATTAAGTTCACTCGGTCATAACTCACTGGAAGTTATACGGCAAAATGCACAAATGCAGTAAGTGATCTCTTTTTCAAGTGTGAGAGCTGCTCACAGTTGCACTTTATAAAGTTCTTGAAGCTGAAGAAATATGTAGCAATTGTCGCGAAAGTGCACAATAAACACATGAACAAAAGTTAAGGATCTGCAAAACTAGAAGGGAGAAAATTTGAACTTTTACCTGTACTTCTAAGTTTATGAGGAGTTGTAGAATTAAGGTAAAAAGAACGTAAGGTTGATTCATTTCTCACTTAGAACAGTTAATTTACAGTGCTTTTCAGAGTACATGGAACCTTTCTTGTAAAATTTAAGAAGTGATAATATTTCTAGAAGGTCATTTTTAATTAATCGTAATGTGAAATCATTATTGTAACTGTTATTAACAGAAGTAAAGGGACTAGATAAAGATCTCATAGACAGAATGAACATTTTATAATATAAAGAAAAAACAGTTTCAACCTTGTGTTGAAGAAATATGCACCATGTAACTTGAAACGTTTTGAAGCTACTACCCTAATGTAATCCGAAAACCGTTCATAATCTGAATAATGACCATAAAGATTACACCTTAATAAATCATAAAAGAGTGTAAACAGGTAAATGCAATTATTCATTTAAGAGTTTTCCTTATTTACAAAGCTGGGGAAGGGTCAGAGTGGAAAATTATATTAGAAATTCTAAATTAAAAATACGTTCGCATAGAAAACGAAAATGCGAAATTACTGGAAACCCACTCCACAGTAAAGTAAATAATTTAGTTAAAAAGATAATCTAAAATGCTTCCACTGGAGACAAATTAAGAAAGAATAGTTCGTCGCATGAAGTGTTTAAACATTGACGGAATATTAAAATTTTCATTACGCCGAATTTGTTAAACAAAAGATACAGAAAGACAAGGTTTATTTATTTCAGCAAATCGGAACGTATTACCTACTGCTTAGTCACAGTAAGGTAAGATAAATTAGAATAAACAGATATGATTTTCAAAGACAAGATCGTATTGTGTCAAAACCAGTTAGTTAAATAAAGGGAATAAATGAACCGTTATGTATATTGAAAAACGAGCTTCGGATTAATATTAATGAAAAAATAACAGTTAACAAGCAGCCATCAATACACGGCATTGTTTTTGAATTGATAAAATTTTCATATTAAATTCCAGTTGACAAGGTTAATATTGCCAGATTTTTAGTAAATTGTCATCAGTCTCGTAAATAACGATATTAATACCAAATATTTTATCGAATGTGTTGTTAATTTGGATCGTTTACATTTAAACTGATTTTGTTAACATAATACATTTATAATTTATTTAATAATTCTCAAAATGAATAAATCGATAGAGCTGAATATATTAACCACGTGTTTTTGGCAGAGAAACCCCAGATACAATTTCGCATCACAGTAAGTAATTTCAGAACAGTGATCATTTTATTTTACTGCAGTCAATAAATTAAAAGAACAACAAACAAATAAATACATCAGGTTGAAAATTGCAATTACCGTGGTGGCAGCAACGGTCTGGTTGTTCTTTGTTTGAGTTAGTTTCAACTACTCGTAGTAGGTATTAGCAACAGCTTGGTAATATTTCTTGATTTTACTGAGTGCACTTTTTGAAATATATGGTGTCTAGAGTGGCACCTGAGGAGCGTCCACGTGTAGAGGGGAAATTTATTGTTTCCTATTTTTTTTTGTTTTACGATGCCTGTTGCTTGGTCTTTTCTTTGGCCTAGATGTTCCACAAAGATTTATATTTTAGCACATATCCGCCACGCCACCGATGCGAGACCGTGATATCTTCTTCCTTGTTGTGTTTTCAGTTTAGTTTTAAAAATGGAAATGGCATTATTTTTCGGTGAAACACTATTTCAACTGTAATATTTCTACTCATGTAAGAATATTAATCTTCGAAATAGATAAAATGCATTCTGTGATACTAGTTGTACAATTGTACGTATTACTAAAATAAGAAGGCGATAAAAATGTGTACTTACTTTAAATATCGATGTCTATCAACTAAGAAAGAAGACGATATTTTGTCAAATTTATGCACTATATAATTTTCATATAGTTATATATTTATTGCTCCTTTGCTAAGGTTCTCAGATTTATTCTACACAGTGTAAATGAAGACAATACTTACTTTAAATTATTATAACATTTTATTTACTAAATATATAAAAATTCTGTTTACATACATCGCGTTACAGTAAAATGTAAATCTAAAAATTTACTCAGACACAATAATAAAACAACTAAAGATAGATCGCTTGTTAGCACAGGCACAGAATTCTCTTTGAAAAAGATACGCTTGATGCAAATTTGCCACTTAATCTTTGGTCCAAAATCTCCTATACTTTGAAACCTATAGTTACTCTGATGCCTCACCTTTAATTTTCATCTCAGGTGTCGGCAGTTTAAATCCCATTTTGTATAAACTGCTGATTTAATATGTACTAGAGTATTTATTATGTAATATTTGAGAAATAGATGTAAGCTAAAAGTGTCTGCGAATTTTATTTTTTTATGATAATCTCTATGAGTTTAATGTAAAAATACATCTGGACTTTCGCAACTACGGGTAAAAAAAAATCAGTCCGTATGTTCCAAATAAGTTTTCTTAATAAAATTTTGTGATGACGTCATCAAATACATCACTAGACTAATTACTTCATCCATTAAATTTGTAGTACCTACATCCTGTATAATCAAGAAATTCTAAAAAAATATAAATGCACTGCCTTTATTTAGAAAAATTCTGAAGTGACGTCATCAAGTTTTTGGAAGGGATTCATAAAACAATTTAAATAACGGTTTATCATGTTTATGAGATTTTACATTAGGCGTATTCTAAGTTAAATTGTAAAGTTTTTCATAATTTTGCCTTTTTTCGAAAAATGTTTACGTCTACAGGAAAAATAAGATCTCATTAATAAAACAAAGTACAGACGCATGTTATTTTGGAAAATTTAGGTAGGATTTACTTTGCACAATTTTGAGACTACATTATTAATTGTTGGTGGGGACGGTCAGACAAATTTTTATCATTTCAGTAGTTTTTGAGTGTACAAATATTTTCTAAATTGATTGTTTTTTTTTTAATAATAACATTGTCTTATACAGGATGATGAAAAAATGATGTTTTTGCTCAATTTTACGTTGTTAAGAAGGTTCTGCAGAGTTCGAAAAAAAATGGTTAAGAAAATCTCTGAACCAAATTTTTGGAAATATTAGACTTTAAAATTGAAGAATTAACTCTGTAATTCTGATGTTTTGAAAAAAATTGTTAAAGATAACATCTGTGAACAGTGAAAAATGACGTTATCAATTCTATTCTATTTTTTTGAGTGAGATGCACTTGAATTATTTTCAACAGTAGTCAAAATAGGACGTTTCATATAAAAAAAAACCTGAAACATCTATACAGCGTGTTATTGAAAGGTACGTACAAAATAAAATCGGCAGTTGATCTTAATGTATTATTAAAAGTTAAAAAAAGTTCAGGTAAAAGTGTTCTCCTTTTAGAGATAAAAATTATTAAAATTTATGTCCAAATTTGTTGTACGCCTCTGATGAAAAGCCCATCTCTCGTTTCTATAGCAACATTTAGTCTTGACGAAAGTTTTATTGTTACAGTTGTTGGATTTACAAAAATTAATTAATTTTACCTATTTATCTTTCAGTAGCGTCCAAAAAGGTTGGATATGGGTTCATTTTCCCCTTATAATTTTGATAACACAAAATAAGTTTTTCAGGGTTTTTAAACTTGGCGAAGAACTGTCAATTTTGTAGTACGTACTGTTACGACACCTTTTGTGCCGACCGACCTATGCGCTGGTGGAGATGGGGTATACAAAAAAGACGGTTAACTTACTTATTTCTAATGAAACAAGGAATACACTGGACGCGACACAGCGCCCTTCAAATCACAGATTAATTACCAAATTACACCTTAGCTTAACATGTACACAGTGGGTCGCACACAGCGCCCCTTTTGATACGAATTACCACCATACAAGTTGCTTCCTCCCTCCTTTGTAGGCAAGTCCTGCGGGAGGATTCGTGGGGGGAAAAATCTGGCACGGCGGTTCCTCTCGTTTTCGTGACGCCCCCTTTGTCGGCTCAGTGGGACGAGTCGGGAGGTGTGGAGGCCTGAGGAATTCTTACGGTCTCCACAAAGGTTTTTCGTTCTTCTTCCCAAAAGAAACTAGTAACGCCACGTCGAAGAGGAAAAAGTTGTAGACAAAAAAAACAGAAAAGAAATCGAAAACTTGGCTGTCTCTGTGCAAAGGAAAACCTGTTTTATACGGGATCTCGCAAGGGTGACTTACTTACGGTTCTCTCTTACACTCACTCGCACCCCCGGTAACTTTTCCGGGCTGTCGCTCCCCCAAAAGTTACAACCCCGTACTTTTTGCGTCCGCTGCCGACCGTTACTAGATTCTGTTTAAACGCGATCTCGTCGGATGAGTTGCGGAAATTCCCGATTAGGCGACCAATCGCGCTTTCCCTGCTCAAAATGCCACTCGTTCACCGCAGTCTCTCACTTGCGCTTGACTCGCTGTTATCTAGGCAACCCCTTATTTTCGAACCGTAACAGTACCTTTCAAGAACACCCTGTATTTTAGCACTTTGTATACTGAAATTTGATTTATTTCATTAGTTATTGGCAATAGACAAAGTAAAATTGTAAGGTATTTTGAGGAGTATATTCTAAAATTATTTCTAATTATACAAAGTGCTCTGTTTTAAGGTATCGCACACCTCTTAAGTTTTTTTTTAAATGAATAAATACCTTATATATATATTTACATATTCTCATTAGCCTCTTCCTAGACTTTATAATTACATATTATTTTTGAAATTCCTGCGACGTTGACACGTAATTCCAAATTTTCTTGAATTCAATTTTTTTTGGCCAAAAAAGTCGGTATACCTATGCTTTGTTGTGGTATCAATTGAATCGCTTTTGCATATACAGAGTGTTTATAAAAAACTCTAAAACTGTATAATTTTCAAACATCGATATTTCAGTCCTTTCAAACAGAACGCCTTGAATTTTATTATTGCATTTTACTATACTTTTTGTTCTTATTCTTCTAATTGTGGATGTTTCTCAAAAAAGTAAAAAATCGTAATAACTATCAACTTTAAATATAGTAAATACTAAAGTAAAGAATAATAAAAAAGAGAATAAAAATAACATGAACAGCATAAAATACAGGGTGTTCTATTTGAAAAAACTGAAATATGGATATTTGAAAATCCTATATATATTTTTTAACTTTCTGTATATTAACTTTATTTATACCACCTTTATTTATCTCTCCACAAAATATTATAATATAGATTTTAAAAATGACCGTACTGCAATTTTTTTGTGAACCATTCCATTGCTATTTTAGAGTATATTTCTCAAAGAACCAAACAACTTTGGTCTTTAACTTTTTCCTTTTTCTAATGATTAAAAACAGATAAATGTATCTAGTTGCTATATATATTGTCATAGAGATAATATACAAACACAATTTCCCACTACCTACCCTTAACTTTTAACATCAAAAATCTTGCACTAAAACGATTTTCGTTGCTGCCTGTCAAAGTTAGTTCAGTTTTTTTAATATTGAAAAACGTTTATAATGAAAAATGGATTGATAATGGAGAAGACACTCTATGACCAGTTGACCGTCGTGACACATAAAACAACTTGGCATATTTGCGACTCCTGCGTGTGATACTCTGTTAATCATGACAAGTTATGAACTAATAAGAAGTTTTGTGTCCAGTGTGAAGGATAACAATTCGAATATAAAATAAAATGACAGTCCTTTATTTCACTTATATATTTTTTTATCAACTGAAAATGAAATAAAAACTTAAACGTTTCATATCATTGTGATTTATAACAATAATTTGATGATCTATCAAAATCTGCACAAATATACATTACAATTAAAAAAAATATATATACAACGACGCCGACGCCAGAAACGCGTCAATTTGCATTGTACTAAATTAAACTTTTCCTTTCAAGCTAAAAGCAATGGTGTTTATAGAATTTCAATATTCATATAAGGTCGCAGAATTCTACCTGGGACAGTCTGTATATACTTATAACCAACGCGCGGAATTGTATCTCATACGCTAGAATCAGTGCTGTCGCGGCGATAGTTTGATTACAAATATATTTTTCTTTTGGACTATTTCAACATAATATAACATTTCAAGATCACAAATCTGTGGTCCTGTGGTTGAAAAATTAAAAAGGGCATCAAGTATTATTATTTGAAGTAATATAGTAATATAGAAGTAGTTTTTTTACTAGCTGTAAACACTCCTAGCGCCGCACTGGCCACGACCTTGTGGACCAGATCAAGGCGTCCCCGCTACTCGCCGTAAAACACACCTTACTTCAACTGGGGGATTGCAGCGGTGAAACAAATTCCCGCGTAGTGCTTATAACACACAAATAGTGACTACTGAACGTTGGTAGAAAATTTAAGGCCGACCTATAAAGGTCCTTTGCAACAAACAACTAGGTCGAACATTGTGCCCAGGAAGGATGACAACAAAAATAAAACTATTTAAAAGTTATTTTCCGAATTCCGCTCATTCAGTCAATTACCTTGTAACCGACCATACCAATAACATAAGGAAATAATGTTAATGGTTCTGGTTTAAAAAGATTCAGAAACGAAACAACTGTAACTATACTATATAACTGCGTGTTTCCTGGGACGTTTGGGATAAAAATAAATGTTGTTCCCTCCTTCGGTAATTTTTCTTTTTATTTAACCTTTCCTCTCCAGATTGTTTCACCACTTACGTTTGAGAATACTTCCCGCCATTTTATTACATGGCGCATTAAGGTTCTTTCACTATGACAGAATACGATTTATATTTTATTCAACAAGCATAAGCATGTATTTAGGTGGGAATTTGTCATTACAATATTTTTTTCCTTGGAGTCAGGTGCGTAGACGTAGGTGTTAATTTAAATGTATATATTTTAATAGATATCTTTCTCACTTATTCACTGTGGATTAATGATGTCTCAGACCCCGCCTCTTCCAGACGCTTACGAATCGGAAAGTTTTCGATCTTACACTATCAGCAGTATTGTAAGTTTTGGTTGTTTTTCAGTCGCGATAGTTTGCTGCCAATATGTCCTTACTTCCAGTCACCAACAACATAAAAAACGAAAACCTTTACACATTTAAACGATATCGACTTTTTCGCAAATCCTATTTAAAAGTATAATTTTGTCAGAAATACTGAGCTATTTCTGTTGGTAAAGCGCTCGTCCTTAACTTTTTTCCCCGAGTTTAGCAGCAATAAAAGCTCATAGTGGGTGACAATGGGTAACGTATCCGCTAAAGCTCTCCTCTTATCTAACTCCTCGTCGTTTCGAGGTTCAACAATGAAACTTTACATACCTCTCATGTAGATATAAGCAGTGCCTCGCATATTTCTCCTAGTTAGCACAATTAGATTGAAAATGTTCCCCACAATGCCTAGCAGGCAAATGGAAGGTAAAGCCACTCCGTAGGAATAGAGTCTTAAAACTTCGATGCGTGGGTCTTCTGAAATGGGAACCGTTCCCAGCATGGGCGCTGGAATCGAAGAAAGATTGCTCCACATACAAGGAGAGCAATCTGTAGTGCTACCATTTAGGCAGAGCGTTACGGGACTGGGGGATTCGCTGGAGTATAAGAGAGACATCCTCCTCATTTATCAGCAGCACTCAACGACGACTAACATCACGTCACAGTGATTTATTAACACCTGCAACAGAAAATTTCATTTACATTACTTAAGATGAAAGAGATAGCAATACGCGGTTTGCGTGCGGTCGGATAATTTCATTTTAAAAAGACGGAGTCTGAATGAAAACACTTAAATAACAGCTTTCCCTTTGAATTAGTACACCCGGACGAAGTCCTGTGGGAAAACCGCCGGATGACTGCCTTGAAATATTAATAGATAACGATGCCTGGATGTGACGGAAAACAATAAGTTGGCACCTTTTCGTGTGTTATTCTGTTCAACCTATTCGATGTAGTAGGAGTACTTCTGGGACTTTAATAATTAAGTAGTCGATGCAATTTATTTTTAAACAAGTAGACGTATTTTCAAACAAATATTCGTTTGTTAGCGGTATGTTGAAATTATAATTGGACAATTGTTATTCGACTTTTTTATGAGGTATTGTATGCCCAACGGGTCTCAGCGGGAAGAGGAAATTTTTATATTTTAACAGAAATACTCAACTGACATCAAAACATTTACATTTTCCGACATTTAATCTTTCAATTTTTGCATCTGATAAATTTGGAGGAACAGTTTTCCTTAGAGAATGTCATCGGTTACGATTCCCACGAAAATTAAGAAATAAAAGTGAAATGTGCCACCAGAGAGACTAAAATTGTTTTAGCAAATTCCGAAACGCATTTTCTCGAATTGCTATGTTCTATTCAAGAATATACTCTGATTATAAGCTTTAATAATTTTAATGCCAGTGATGTGTTTATATGTTACTTATAAAGCTTAAGTACTTACAAAAGTTCTGTTTAAATTTTACTGCTGGTTGATTAAAATTTCAGCTATAATAATTTGAATTAATTGTACTAAACAGTTTTGATTTTTTGTTGACTATTTGTTTTTGTTGACTTGGCTAATTTGTTATTATTATGTTATAAAACTTAATTATGTTTTTATAATTACATGAAAACATCAATTTCTAAAATGTGTTTTTTTTTGTAATTTCACCTCTTAAGTTGATTCTATTATAGTAACGTACATTTTTTTGAGGTACTATAAAAATATGATAGAGCATTTTGAGTATGAAGTTTAAGGTAGAGACAACTCCTCTGGTTTATCAGGGGACAGCTATTTATTCTGTATGCATTTTTTTTTTCTCCCTGCAGGTGTATTCATGGAAATAAAATGACCCAAATAATTTTACAGTTGCGAAAGAACAATGTAATAAGAAAACAGAGAAATAGATGCAGAATGCGAATATGCATTTGTATTTCTCCTGTTAGGATCTTGTAAACATCATGAGATATAAAAGCTACTCTTTTCTAGTTATCAATATTCTCCAAACGTTGTCATATATTTTCCCTAAATCAGTTCTAAACTGCATACATAGCACGTCTCAGGTAAAATTCGATCTTGGGATGAAGATATTGAAATTCTGCAAACGACATTGTTTTTAACTTGAAGGTGGAAGCTTACTTTAGTATAACTCACACATATTGTAGGATCTCAGCGTCGCGATGCAATGATAAATCCTTAAATTAGTGAGTGAGTTCGAATCCTACGCTCACAGAGTGTTTTTCTTAATTGTGACTTGTATTACATATATTTGTTCACTTATGGAGATCAGGCCAGGTCAGGTCAGGTTAAGTAACTATAAAACAATTAAAATTTTGTGAAATCAAATTTTATAATTTTTCGAAAAAACTGAATTTGTTCGATTCTACTTAAGGGAGGAGGGAATATTGAAATTATCTGTAAAGCATTGTGATTTGTATTTTATGTACAAGATATTGTCCAGAATACATTGTGGAAAAGTGAGTATTTTCAGGTCTATAAATTTATGCTTGCAACAGTAATTGTAAGGCACAAATAATTTTTACACCTTCCCTTTGAAAAGTAAAAATGGATCCTAAGCCCCATACTATAACACCTGGGTCAAGGTATATCTCTAAAAATTTAACACAGTTATAACGCTTGAGTTAATATTAAAAGTTGTTTTAAAATGAATATTTTATGTTTCGTTTTTGATTTATTAACATTTTTGTAAACTCATTCCCCAGCTGGCATTTTCAGATTCTTAGCCATATTTTTAAGTTGATGTTTATCTGAGCGTTGACAACTAATAGTTGTATCATTAGCATATGCAGCAAAGGGCCCAAAAGGGACCTTTGTGGGACACCATATACGATACTCAGTTTTGATGAACTACCACGTTGAATTTGAATGATTCGAAACTTATTACTCGAATAAGATTTTAACAATTCAAAGCTGATTATTATTAAATTCATGTATTATGAATTTATCAAGTAAAATCTCGTGATTAACACAGTCGAAAGCATACATAAAGCTTAAATGGCGGAATATCGTGCTTAAGTTTTCTGAATAATTAATTTGTTCCACTATAAGTTTATTATAGTATCCATGGTGGTAAATTTTCTAAAGTCGAATTAGCATTCTGTAAACAATCTCAAAATATCCTATGATTTATAATATTGGTAACAAGGATGTACATCGATATTGTTAGGGACTGTTTTTATTTCCAGATTAAAAAATTGGGATAATAAAGCTTGTGTTGTTGGTACATTTTAAGGAGTCAATTATGTTCCTAATTTCATTGAAAGTTGGCGAAATGCAAATATAGAAATTTTTAATGTTTGAAGAGTGTTGGTAATTGCATCGATATTTTTTATGTGTGGAGATGTATGAAGAGACTTCGTTAATGTAAAGCAAAAATAAAAGTGGTCCAAGAATGGACCCTTGCGGTGCACCAGCTTAAGAAAATTTTGAATTAAATTACAAGCAATTTAAGATCTATGATTTAGATACGATAAAATTAACCTCGTGCATAACATACACAATATTTTCAGATCCTAGTTTTCTAACGAAACCTCTTGATTTTTAGCTCATTGACATTAATATTCACATTATATTACAACGATTTCGTTTTTGACTTTTCCTTCCGTCACTGAATCATTTTTCCAAAATATTTTCTTTTGTAATCTATGTAATCTATGCTACTATGCAGAAAGAAAAACGAAATAATTTACGTAATAGTCGTAATAAACAGTTATTTATGAATTATGATGTAAGTGTTAAAAGTGAGATTTTATTTCGCTGTGGAAGTTTGGGAAACGAACGAAATGAGTTCCCAATCATATGAACAGTGCAGTTTAAATCAGCTTCATTTCCGTTATGCATACTTTGTGACATATCGGAAATGTATCCGTCAATTTAAAAAAAGAAATAAACGTCCAACAAAAATAACCTAATTTAGTAGAAGTATTGTAATATGAAAGTTCAAATACAGAACTTAAAAATCGTTCTATAAGAACAGTAATAATATTGCAAGTATTTTAATCGTGGTAAATTAACATCCTTATTTTATCAGTCGACCTATATTAATGCATGAATATTGTGACGTAGGATTTTAATAGGCTTAGGCCATTTAAGAACCGAGAACGGAGTGGATAAAATTGGCTATTACACATTAATCTGTTAAATGCTGAGATTTCTGGATATTTATGTGTTTCGTAGTACAGTTAACAGTTCATTCACTAGTGTTTTCGTCTGATAAACTGCTATAAATTGGGCTTCCTTATTTTTTCTTTGTTGATTAGTGTGATTTCTACATCTTATTCAATTTATAAGCGCTTTTCTTACATATATAAAAAATGAATTTACGATAAAAAGCACGTCAACATGATCCAGAAAAGCGCAAATATAGTCGAATGTTGTGAAAATATTAAAACCCACTTTGTTTCCATAACTAGGGAGAAGTTGTTTGTTTTGTAAGTTTTTTTATGTAACTAAGTGCGATGATGGTCAAATCAACCTCATGTAAAACACTAAATACATACATAGCCTCAATATCTTCCCTAAATAAACTGAGATTCAATTTTGTAATACATACAGATATTTCCTAACCGCGACTTCGAAGTAAGGAAAATCACGTCTCAGGGAGCGAAATCAAGTGGCCTAGAGCAAGTATTTGGGTTATGACCCAACAGGAAATTGCTTTTCACTTAACATGCTGCCAACATACAAACTATATTATTAAGTTAGTAATTGTTTTTTGCCGATTTTACAAAAGTGTGGAAGTCTTACGAGAACATACTAAGAATTTTAAGCGAACGGAATGTTAAGAGTGGAATTTATAGCGAATATTAAACAAAAGATTTTAAATTGGGCTTATTCAGCACAAGATAATATAATGGTTTTGTTATTTTTAGAATGTAAGTCTTATTCGGTTGGAATCAGTTTTTTATTTTGTTTTCCCAGAAAGCGTTATTTGAGAATGCCTCGACGATTCACAATAAGCGTTATTGGAAATTGTATACTGAAAATTTGTTACTTGTAAAAAGAGTCTGATATCACGAAAAGCTAATATAATCGTTGAATGAAATGGCTGACATGTTAAGCAACATAAACTTTGATTTCGATATTAAGTTGCAAGTTTAATATGCTCGGAATTAAAAAAAAGTAAATATTAACTACACACAATATAGCAAATGAAAATTTATAAAACTAAAATTTTATTTATAGTTTGGGTTCTATGGTTCTTAAATGTAGAAGCAAAAAGCAGAGCCTTTCAACCTGATACATACTTAATTAACAGTTAATAAATTAATTTTACAAAACACCAACATAAAAAGACAATATAGCAAGTTTTCCCACAAGCTGCGGAAGGAATTCAGAATTAGCGATTAAACTCTGCTCTATAATTTACAATTTTGAATGAAAGTCAAAAAGTTAAGCAAAATAACATGAATGGATAATGGTTATTTTTTGTTGCAAAATATCAGTTAATTCGCTACAAATTCTTGCTTAATAAGTTGTTGTAAAATAACGATGAAAAAAATATCCCCATTAATCGGATTTTACAACAAACAAATAACAATCATTAACTTTTGGTACATATTCGAAATTAATTAAGCGGTATTGTTAAATTTAGATCATATAGAGTCATGTTTTTCTGTTTCTGTTAAGCATTGAAAAATACTAAATAAAATAAATACGAAGTGACA